CACTTCTTCGGATGCATAAGTGGGCTGTAGTCCACGAAAGCTTATGCTCTAATAAATTTGTTAGTCTCTAAGGTGCCACAAGTACTCCTGTTCTTTTTGCGGATACAGACTAACACGGCTGCTACTCTGAAAACTATACAATGTCCATCACCGATTTTGCATGTGGCAACACTGGTGACAGTGTATTCAATTCTTCGTACAGTTCAAGTCCATTTAAATCAAAACTATCACCGTGCTTCAGGAGGCTCTCTAGGTTCTTGCACTGTGACCTTGAGCTAGTGTGAAGACACCTCAGAAGGCGCTCCACCCGGACTGAGACACAGTAGAGTTGGAAACCCATGTCATTTTTACAAAGCCACTATTTAGTTTTAAATGTATAGTGGGCATCAGTCTTAATGTTAATTACAACTCTATATAAATCTTATACTGTAAATAGATCAATGGCATTATCCAGTTTAATAAGCTGGGTTTCCAAGCAGTGGGAAAATATAACCCTAGTTTTACTCCTAGGTAAAGCACAAAGTGACCAAAATGAAGTCTTGCACAGAATCATCTCATCTAGATTAAGGTAGCACAGAAATGTTACAGAAGTCCTATTGTGCCTCATTTTTGTTTGGAAAGACATTAGCAATAGCAGCACATTTTGGGCCAGAAATACATGATAAATCACTGCCTCTAAAGTTCCATTAAAAACTGACATTTTCACAGCTCTAGAATGATCTGCTACACAGATTCTTCACAAGGAAGTGTCCCTGACCTTTTTAACTCATATTAACCATGTATTTACTTGATGAAAGTTGGACAAAACCTTGTGAAAACGTAAGACATTGGCTGCCCAACCTCTGGGCTGGCAAAAGCTATCCTGACTCACTGGAAAAAAAAGCAAGAGAATCTTAGTACAACATATGGTCACTCTATACCGGGGGTCGGCAACCTTTCAGAAGTGGTGTGCCAAGTTCACTGTCATTTAAGGTTTCCCATGCCAGTAATACATTTTAACATTTGTAGAAGGTCTCTCTCTATGTGTATATTATATAAATAAACTATTGTTGTATTTAAAGTAAATAAGGTTTTTAAAATATTTAAGAAGCTTTATTTAAAATCAAATTAAAATGCAGATCTTATCAATTTAGTGTGATCCTTGCCTGGGATCCTTGTCTGGGGTTCCAGCCACCAGCCCCGCTCAGCCCACTGCTGGTCTGGGGTCCAGCTACTGGCCCTACTCAGCCCACTGCCGGTCTCGGATTCCGTTCACTCAGCCGGCAGCAGGCTGAGCGGGACCGGCGGGGGGGCTGAGTGGCTCAATCCGTTGCCAGTCTGGGGTGCAGCTACTGGCCCTACTCAGCCCACTGCCAGTCTGGGATTCCGTTCACTCAGCCGGCAGCAGGCTGAGCGGGACCGGCGGGGGGGCTGAGTGGTTCAGTCCGTTGCCAGTCTGGG